GCATTGAAGTTGTGGTGGTGCTTGTTGAACTTGCAATATAATTATCTACTTTGAGACCTCTTCCATTTTTGGTACAAGGTTGCGCAGTTGTGGCTTGAGTTGTATTGGTGTGGCATGTCGGTGGGATAATTGTGTTTAATAACATATGGTCATTGGACCTAAAATGGGTACTATCAGATTTTATTACGGTATATTGGGAGGATAATATTGAAAGTCGTCTTAGAAGGACATTATGATTCTGCTTGGGGCAAGAAAGCTCAATGACTTGTCGATCTGATAAGATGTTATGAGATTCCACGTGTTTCTTTCATTATCAGCAGTGTATGAAGGTTTTGGAATGAGGTTTGGCTTGATATAGGGTTTAATACTATTACCGGGTTAGTTTGGAGTAGTTACTGTGATCGAAAATGGTGTTGCAAGCATGCCAGTTGTATAGTATGATAAGTGATTATATCTGGGGCTATGGTTATGGCTTTATACAACTTGTTCTGACTCATACAACGTGTTGATGTGAGATCCAGGTCTTGAAAAGAAATTCTGAATGTTGAAAATTGATTTCCAAGGTTTTATGGGCTAAGGTTGAAGTAATGATTTTTAATTATGTTGTGTTGTCAGGCCTATACAATTTACACAGAATAAAGTGGCGTAGGATCAGCCCCGGGTATATGCGTGGTAAGATGGAATAGTGATGTGATGGCTTGGAAATAACTCTTGGCACGTTCGAGGACGAACGTATGTTTAAGTGGGGGAGAATGTAACGACCCGGCCGGTCGTATTGAGTATTACAACCCCGTCTCCCCATTTACTGCTCAAGTTATATTTTTCAGTTATTTTATGATTTACCGGGTTGATTGGTTCGGTTTCGGTGAGGTTTTGGAATGATTTGGAACACTTAGTTCCAAGGTTTAGAACTTAAGTTGAAAAGGTTGACCGGATGTTGAATTATGTGTAACGATCCCGAAGAAATTTTACTAAGAAAATTAAGGTTTTATGGTGCCGAGGTAGATCAATTAGTACAAAGCTTGTAGAACTTTCTCCCTTGAATATTAACTTCAAAGCAATAAGACTAAAAAAAATACAGTGAGCTATCTCCCCATAGCGCAGCTATAGCACAAGAGGGAAGCTGAAAGTTTTAGCAAACCAGTAAGCTAAAGCCTTATAGCACAGGGATAACACCAGTGGAAAATTACTGTATCCGATTTTAGCAAACCAGTGAGCTAAAGCCTTATAGCACAGGGATAACACCAGTGGAAAATTACTGTATCCGATTTTAGCAAACCAGTGAGCTAAAGCCTTATAGCACATGGATAACACTAGTGAAAAAATACTGTATCCGATTTTAGCAAACCAGTGAGCTAAAGCCTTATAGCACAGGGATAGCACGAGTGGAAAAATACTGTATCTGGGCCTATTAATGCATGAGCGGGGAGAGAGAAGAATAAAAGGATTTCAAGACTAGGGCTTTTCTGTCTATCACCCATCCGCCAAAGCTTCTAATACACAGTTAAGGTGAGTTTTTAAGAGTGTTTTTATGATGATTTCACTTCTCAATCCCTAGTTACAACAAAATTTTGTATTGGATTCCATAGGATTTCTTCAAAATCTCAAGAACACCCCAAAAGTTGACTTTTAAGATTTGGTCTTCAAGAGGTAATCTTTCACTCTTAAACCTATAATCATGGATTGTTAGTGAATATATGAGCAAGAAATAAGCATTAACGCTTATTGGATTTTGCTTGGAAGCCATAAATACTTCAACTAGATTATTGGGTGTTGTAGAAATTTTTGTAATAAATTAATTAGTAATATTTGGGTGGATGTGAGTTCATTGATAATTGCAATGGTGCTAAAAAGGCAATTTGCAGACAAATGATGGTTTAGTATCTCTTATTGGTGGGAAGGAGGGATTGTTGGATGAAGAAACACCATTATTAGAGGTAGTTGAATGCTATGCACTCTAGGTGTTTGATAAAATGCCAAAACGACCAAAAATCTGGAATTTTTTACTAATATTGGTCCAATTGAATTATGTTGATGTAGATTAAAGTTGTAAGAGTAGTGGGTGGTTTTAGTAGCACGAAAGAGCTCCATCAAGGGATGTTGGCTAAACTACTCTCTTAGAATTAAATTCCACGATGTTCCTGTAAGTTTCAAGTATGGTTGGACTCGTGGTTGGATGTACGTTCATATTTTGTAACTCTTGTCGCGTTCCAAGACGTGGGCCTCATGGGCGATTTTTGAGTGCAATTTCGGATTTTGTTGGAAAATTAGTATTTTATTATGAAATTAATTCCAATAAATTTTATTGACTGAATCGAATAATTTGTGGCTAGATTCGAGGCATTTGGAGACAAATTCACGAGGCAAGGGCCTAGCGGAGTAAATAATTATACGATTTGGGATAAGTAACACTTCTAAACTTGGTTCTGAGGGTATGGATCCCCGCAATTTGGTATGACATAAATTGTTTGGAGGTGACACACACGATAGGTGACGAGCATGTAGACGTGCATCACAGAAATTGTGTCTTGAATAAATCGTGTGCTATTTTAAAATTAATGAATCATGTTATTATCTAAACATGTTTCACGTGTTAGAGAAATTGAGCCGAGGCTCTTATTAAATAACGTGTTTAGGCTATGTGCCAATATTTTGGGACCCATGGTGTCGTGTTGTTGTTGAGNTTTATACTGGACTGTACCTGCGGAACTCGTCATTACTTTCAGCCTAGAGGTTAGTCATGTTACTTATTGAGTTAGTTGTACTTATACTACACTCTGCACCTCGTGTGCAGATCTAGGTCTCTCGGATACGGCTGCTGCTAGATTTCAAAGTTAATTATGTTGGGGACAATCAAGGTAGCTGCTTGGCGTCCGCTGACCTTGTCTCTCTTTCCTTCAGTTATTGTACTATTCTATACTTTCAGACAATGATTTTTTTTATCAGTCAGACATTGTATTCATATTAGATGCTCATGTACTCAGTGACATCAGGGTTTGGGAGTGTTATATTTGTATTTGTGATATTTCTTCCGCTGAATTTAATTATTATGTTTTCAAATTTTAAAAGATATGGTGGTTTATTGAGATTGTCGGCTTGCCTATATTGAGATAGGCGCCATCACGACAGGTGAGATTTTGGGTCGTGACAGCTAGTCCAGTTAATTGTTCAAATATTAATAATCCATTTTGGTTATAGGTCAAATCGGGCTAAAGAAGAAATGGGTCTAACTTAGATATGGTCTATTTAAACTTATGTGGCATTATTGTTAGATTTTTTAATTAAATGTAATGTCATGTCATATTTTTTGTTGGATATTTTGTAGATTTTGAACTAGAATGACTTTTAAGTTACAAAGGTAAAGTTGAGTGACTTTTAAGTGATAAAAAATAGTTAAGTGACTTTTATGAAATAAATAATAAGTTGGATGACCATCAGTGAAATTAACCCCTGATTTTAGCTTAAGCACTTGGTTTATAAGCACTTTGGATTTTTACCAAACGCGTAGATAAGCCAAAAGATGCTTAAGCTAGTTTGACCATCTTATAAGTTTAGCCAAACACCCTTTTAATGATAAGAATGTATGTAAAGATATGTATTATATATATATATATATATATATATATATATATATATGGCTCATTGTAT